CAAAAAAAAAAAAAAAAAATGTTCAATTAAATGTGCCTTCTTCCTGAAGTTCACCCTCCACAATTTCTCAGTCCTCAAATCTTAGTGAGAGAACTTAGCAGAAACCAGAACAACCAGCCCTCCTAAATTACTCAACCATAATCTTGAGAGCTAAGTAAATACTTACTATTGTAAGTCACTGATCTTTGTTAACATCGAATTATTATGTCAATACATTAATTGACAAATATGAAAAAGGTTCTTTTTTTTTTTTTTTTTTTTTACCAAATTTTAGTGAGATTCCTTGACCTTCTACTCTGTCCATCTGTATACGTCCTTGTAAAACCCAGTTTGGGCAAGAATCCTATTGTGTTAGTTTAGACAGACCCACATTCTCAATATCTGATCACCCTTGATATCTGATCAGGTTCATCAACTTCCACTATTCACCAGATGATATCTCACATCTGGCCTGTCATCAGTAAGAATTCTGTTAGGTCAGTTTAGCCAGAATCCCCCAATCCATGATGCTTTTGCTTAGTAATTTTCTATCCATTGACCTCTATCCCTATTGTTGGCTATAAATTCCCACTTGCCTATGCTGTATTTGCAGTTGAACTCAAACTTTCCTGCAAAATTCCATCACAGCTGTCCCTATACCTATTGTGACAGCCCCCCTTCACCTTGAATAGTCTTCTTTGAATATTTTTCTTTAACACATATAACAAGATGGTCAATAAATGCTTACTGACCCAAAAAGAATTTATAAAATATTTATCCTGACTCCTCTCAATCCCCCCCTTTTTTTCCTGTTTTCCTTTTTCTCTAGTGCTATACCAGGGTACAAAATAAAAATGCTCACTGCTTGGGACATGGACAACAAGTTGGAAAAGGAAAATCACTTAGATGATACCATTTTCCTTACCTTAAATCCTGATGATTTAAATGAAGGTATTATATTAGACTTCCAAACTCTTTTTGAAATTGTGTGATAATTTTTGCCTATTTTGATATCAGATCCAGGTGGCAAACATCTCAGATACAATGAATTATAATTGTTTGACATTATATCAATAAATTATAAATAGCAATATATGAAATTACACCAGTCTATATTGATTTAATTT